CGCTCGACCGAGGACGGAGATACGCGGGTGGGCGGGCCCAGCCGCGGGGTTCTCAGTTCCAACCCCTGACCGAGCCCAAAGGTCAAAAAGGGGGACTCTCGTTGAGAGCCTCCTGAGAGCGAAAGCCTTAGCAGCTGTGTGTCGAAGAGTATACGGAAGTATAGCCGAAGCACCAGTTAGGCCGACGAACACCTGTTCTAAGGCTTCCTCTCGAACCCTTTTTAACATCCGAGTTCCTTTCTATTTTCGCTTGCCACTAACTCGTCTCAAGCCGAGTTACTGACTCATCTGGTAACAGACGACCGTGAACCGCTGGTTGGTATGTCCCCTCCTTCATGCCAAGAGGTTACTAACCAGGTGGCAGATCACACTGGTACCCTTCGTCAAGCCTCACTCACTTGACTTAGGCTTAACCCGTGTGAACCCTGCTACAGGCGCAGGAACCTACAAAAAACAACAGCTCCCGCAGGGGCGGGGGTTCCGGGGCCCGGTGCGGGCGCGTTGACCCTTCCCGGGCCGGCCCTCCGAAGGAACCTCCCCTCGGGCGGAGCCGCCGGGAGGGCGGGCGGCCGGGGGCGTACCTCTCCACCCAACACCCGTGTCTCCCCCCCCCCCCGGCCGGACCCCCTCCGAAGGGTGGGAGACTCCGGGGGCACACAGGCGCGCGTCCCCGCCCTCCTGGCCCAGGTGCCGGGGGGTTCGTGAGAACGCCCACGAAAATGGCCCTGCCTCTCTGCTGTCCCGGGAGGGGGAAGGCGGACTGCCAGGACGGCCGACGCTGTTGGCGGGCCGACGCATTGCCGCGTGCGATCCCCGGGGCCTGGCCGCCGGAGGCGCCCGGCCTCTCGCCGCCTTCCCCCCCCCCCCCCCTGTGGCAAGGGGCTTGGCCCGCACTCGGGGATGTTTGTTATTGTTATTTTGTCCGCCGCCCGGACAGGCACCTGGCCGGTGGCGCCGATCGCCCGGTCCTTTGTTGTCTGTCCCGCCCCCCCTCGGGGCCGGGGCCGCGTACAGTGCCGCACCACAGGCACACGAGCAGACGAATGCCCGTCCCCCCCCCCCCCCTGCCCAGATGGACGCACGCGCCTCCGGCATCGATGTTGTGACCGGCGCCAGGCAGCTAGGTGAACCCGGCCCCGGGTGTTTGGACGTATGGAGGCGCCCCGCGCCCGGGAGGCCGGCCGCTCCCGTGCAGCCCGCGCCTCCTGTTCGACGACTCCTCTGCCCGTCACCTGGGATTGCCTGATTTTCCTGGGTCTTTTTCGCCCGGCCAGTGTCTAGGAGTTGGGGGCGCTCACGCCCCCAGGGGGGGGGGGGGACCGATCCGCCACCAGTAGGCCGGGTTGGGGAGCGGCGCCCCGTGGCGTTTGGGGCTGCCTCCCCCCCCCCCCCCCGGGGGGAGGGGGCCCCGGCTGCGCCGATCTACCCTGCGTGACCTGCTCACCCGCCCTCGGCGCCTCCGACGCAACGCGACTGCGCGCGCGCGCGCGCGCGCCCGCACCCTCCCCCGGGAAGGGGGGGCCGGGTGGGCAGAGGATGGCACGCGCAGCACGGCCAGGCATGCACCCCAATCGGATCCCGGTCAGAGCACCGCCGCGCGCCTCTCCCCATGACTTGATCCGGGGCTTACGCGGCCGGGGGGGCTCAAGCCGGCTCTTTTTTCCCTTCCGGCGGTCGTGGTGCTCACCCTTGCGTGGTGGGG